TAATCTGACATGTGAAGCAATTAAAATGAAATTAATAATGGATTAACTTTTTATTAGTCGATAACAGAAGTATAATAACATCTCCAACCTTATTTTTATCTTTATTGTCCTATACAACATTTGTATTAAAAACCAAACCTAAATCCCACCAAGCAACGCAACTATAGTGAAACCAGCTAGCTTCAAGACAACGACAAATGATGCATGCACCATCATTGCTTTTACATGACTGTGCAAGCTGCATTAGGATTCTCTTCGCAAAAGTAATCACTTGTAACAATAGCCACCGCGACCTCCACCCCAGCTATCATACACCGGCCTAGCGCAATATCCGTCATAATATCTTGGCGGTCCATAGTTATCTAGTTGGTTACATGGCTAGCATTCCCTGCAACACGTTGCACCGGGGTTTGGTGGGAAGCACGGTGCTGGTGCTGGTGCTGGTGCTGGTGTGGGTGCCGGTGGCGGTGGGGGTTTAGGCTTTTCAGGTTCTTTTGGTTTTTCAGGCTCTTTCGGCTTTGGAGGTTCTTTTGGTTTTTCAGGTTCTTTCGGCTTTGGAGGTTCTTTTGGTTTTTCAGGTTCTTTCGGCTTTTCAGGTTCTTTCGGCTTGGCGGGTTCTTTAGGCTTTTCAGGTTCTTTAGGCTTCGGTTGAGGTAGAATTTCAGTACTCTTGATGGAATCACCACCTTTGAAGCAAATCTTTTGCTTGATCTTCTCAGGACTACACCACGCTACTTTGATCTTCACTGTGTTCTGCTTCTCGTCAAATACCTGGTCTTGTACTTCTGATCTCGTTCACAAAAATCAAACGTTCCTTCTACATTAAACACCTACTTCAAATTCATCAACAAAGAGAATTGATGAACAGAATTAAAGACACTCACGAGGGAATTTACACAGCACTCTCTTTACTTTCCTGTAGCACTTGTCACAACTTTCTGCAACATTAAACAATATATATATATATTTCCACGCCCACATAACTTATCAAAGAAGGGAAAGACACTAGCCCACAGCCCCACACCCGCAAAAACTTATCTATGAATATTCCACGTAATTAACAATCCACCAAGAAAAGAAGATGTTCTTTAACCGATGAGATGATTGAAGTGATAACGTGTTTACAGGATTGGACTCATGCAAAAAGAAGATTACAACAGCACCCTGAAGATCCCGAACTACTCGAACTCTTTAGGAATACTGATTTGAATGATGTAAATATTGTTGACGATGAAAATGAATAATTTAATTAAAAAAATTATTTAATTGTTTATTTGTGAAGCGTGAATGTGTGAAACGTGAATTTATGTTAAAAATTAAAATTAACTATTAATTTGTTTATTTATTTATTATTTATTTAAATTAATTAAATTTTTAAAAACTTACTAATTAACCCTTACAAAATACTAAAAACCCCCTATAAAATTACCCCCAAAATATAAAAAAAGATTAAGGGGGAAAAAGAAATTGTCCAAGCCCATAGGACCAGTCCTAAGGACCGGTCCAGGTCCTTATTTTGCTCATGGGCCTGGAATTGGTCCCAAGCCCATGAGCTACTGGTCCCATTTGGGACCAGTCCCAAACGGACCAGGGCCCAAGCCTGCTTGGGACTACTCCCTGCCCACCTCTATCATGTAATATAAGATTTCGATAATCTTCAAATGCTAATAGTAATTACTATTGGTAATATTGGAAATAATCTGATTACCTCCATTTTCTTAGGTATTATAAGATTACCAGAGTAATCTTTTTTTTCTTACAATTTTATCCCTTATTAATAAAATTTTAGAACAATAATACTTTTATTTTTAAATTTATTTACATGAATGTTACTTTTACTATTTCACCCTAATTAATTAACTTTTTGGACAAAATTACCCTTGAATTCAAAACAAATTGCAACCCACCCAAGCCACTACCACTAACACTACCACCCCCACCCACCTGCCGCCGGCAACCACCGCCGCGGACAGCCGTCGTCACCTCTAGAAAGGCACACGGAAGGTCAAAAATGGTCACTGTGCACTGATATGGCCATTTCTGGCCAGATATCTGGCCAGAAATGGCTAGATCCGTTGATTTGGCTGTTGACGGCCAGATTGATGGCCGTTAACGGCCACGTTTGTAGCTGTTAACGACCATCAATCTGGCCGTCAACAACCAAATCTGTCACGAGCTGGCCATTCAACGGCCAAATCTATCACGATTTGGCCAATGGCCATAGACGCACGGACGCCATTTCTTGCCTTCCGTGCGTTGTTAGGTTGCCGACTACCCGCAGCCGACAGTGGCTGCGTTGTGAGGGTACTTTGTTGATTTTCCAAACTTTTATTATGGGGTTGTTTTTGCTAAGTTTTTAAATGCAAGGGGATTACAATAATCCAAATAATAATCAATATTAAAAAATAATATAATAATAATATTTAATTAGAAGACAATTCAGTAATTTAAATAATACACCCATCAATTTATTCTTCCCAACCAAACATATTAATAAAACATACCCACTAATTTATTCCAACTAACTAAACATATTTTCCTAAAGATTCTCAATAATCTTAAGGGCCAGTTTGGTTCGGGGTTAAGTGGTATTACTGGGGTAATGTCATCTTATATTACTTGATTACCACGTTTGGTTGTCAAGTAATATAAGATATCAGTAATCTTCAAATACCAATAGTGGTTACTATTGGTAATATAAGAGGTAATCTGATTACCTCCATTTTCTTAGGTTTTCTGAGATTACCAGGGTTATCTTTTTTTGTTACAATTTTATCCCTTATTAATAAAAATTCTGGACAATAATACCCCTACTTTAAAACAAATTTACATTAATATCCTATTTCAATTTTACCCTTGTTTAATTAAAATTTTGGACAATAATGCCCTTATATTTAAAATAATTTACAGACCACCACTGCCACCAAGCAGCCACCACCGCCGACAGCGGGTCAACCACCACGGACCACCGCCGGAAAATTGCCGGAGTCCCTAAAAACACTGAAAATTCTGTGGGAGGCTTCGATATGGCCGTTTTCGGCCATCAATATGGCCAAAAACGGCCATAGCGGAGCCTCTTGGTCACGGTGACGTACTCACGGGCACATCCGGCGGTGGTTCGCGGTGGCGGCAGGAGGTGGGGGTGATTTCGTCATAAATTAAAGTTTTATATAAGCGGGGGTGTTTTAGCTAAATCTGAAATATTGGGGGTAAAAAAAATATTCAAAAATTAATAATAAAAATAATTTTATATTAATATTTAAAAGGGGGACAATTTAGTAATTTAAATAGCATACCCACCAATTTATTCCCCATAACCAAACATATTAATATAACATACCCACCAACTAACCAAACATATTTTTCTAAAGATTCCCAATAATCTTTCAAGGTAATCTATCTTTCCAGTAATTCAATATTCCCAGTAATCTAACATTCCTGAACCAAACGCCCCCTAAAGGTAATCTAACTTTTTAGTAATCCAAAATTCCCAATAATTCAATATTCCCTTAACCAAACGCACCCTTAGAGTAAACGACATGATCCCATGCAAGGTTTGGCGAAATGGCAAGTGGGTGTCAAAATTTTTAGATTTCTACCCTTAAATTAACAGTAATGATCATTTGAACAGTTCAAATCTGAAATGAAAATACACATATCAAAATAACTCTCCACATATCAAATTTCTCTCACAAACACCCCAAATTCACAAAAACCCGCAAGAAACTCTAGGAGAGATTGCTAGCGATTGGAGAGCTAACTCGGTCGGGAATGTTAGGGTTTTTGAGGAGGAGAGGCCGGTGAATCTATGGGTGGTGAGAGATTGGATTTTGGTGGTTGGGTTTGGTCAGAAATGGAGGGACAGATTTGCGAGCCACATATTAGCCGAAATCCGACGATTGGCGTGGTTGACGGTGGTGGGGTAAGAGCGGTTTTGGTGTGTGAGGCATGGGGAAGAGGACGGTGGTAGTGGGGAAAGCTGTTGTCACCGGAAAAAGGCAAAAAAAGGAGATGGTCATGACCTCCTCAACCTCCCTTGATTTGGCTGAAATCCGTCGTCCACAACCCTCCCCATCACCCTAATTTTTCTCCCCATTCTCCCCCCACCAAAACCCCTCTCATTACACGCCCGTTTACCCCGCCGTTTGCCGTTGGGAAATTGGTTGGGGAGTTTTGTAGAACAAGTGGTGGGCATGTTGGTTGTGGGAAAGGTTGGAGATGATGGGGAGTCGCTGACAACCAGGAAATTACACAAAACAGCAATAAAAAAGACCACAACAATCAGTAGGAAGCTGCAATCAGTGGAAAATGCCGCGAGCTGGACCAAATAGGCCCAAAAACGTGACTGTCATGCAAAAAAAAAAGGGGTGGCGGATGGTGATTGGCGAGCAACGGTGGGCAGTGATGATATGGGTTTTGTTCAAGGGGAAGTGGTGAGTCTGATGGTGATGTGAGATGGGATTTTGGTGTGGGAAATCGGCTGGAATCAAACCCGAAAGACTGCAAATCACAGTGGAGGTGGAGGTGGAGGTGGAGGTGGAGAGATTTGGGATGTGGGGGCTAAAAAATAATTTACTAATTTGAGGCTAAAAATTACTAACCGTGTTGGTTTAAGGGTAAGAAATTTATGGAACAAGGTGGGAAGTTACCGTTTCGCCAAACCTTGTGTGGGAACTGTCTTCTACTCTAATTCTTTATTAGTCAAATATGTCCATTTTGTGGTCTTTAGTTAAAATAATCATTAAAAAACCTAAAAAGCTTATGATTATGTCGTTATAAAAATATTTAGATTTTTCAACACGTTATTGGCCAAACATTTTTGGAATTTTATAACACTAATTTCAAAGTAGACAGCGATGGAATTTGGATTTGGAAACTCATACAGGATTGCCTTAGTTGTCTGTTGACCGCTTTCTATCAATTTTATTTAAAAAATGATTATCTCCACAAGAACATTTCCCATTTTTGAAATGGTGAAATATACTGGCATCTCAATGTGCTTAATAGCAGACGCGCATCACCCTAATTGATGCACCTGCAGGTGTTTCCATTAGAGCAAACTCAACGGCCAACTTTTCACTATGGTGTGTCAAATTATACTCTTTTTCTTCATTATCCATGTCGTGCAAAACTGAACCTGTATCAGGCACATATCCCTGCAGCTTCATCTCTGCCGTTAGTTCATCCAAATACAATCTCCATTGAACTTGGATAAGATTTGTCGCCCATGCAGGACTCGTGAACTTGATTATTTATTTCTGTTAGAATTGGAAGCAAAATTAAATAAAATACGCACGAAAGATTGATTGACAAGTTGAGTAAAAGAAGAGTTTTATTTCACATGAACAACTTCAATTCAAATAAAGTTAATACTTCGTACAAAGTTGTAAAAAGTCTTTTATAATTAAAACAAATATAACTTAAACAAAAGTTTAGATAAGATAGAAAGTGGTAACTGTTATGCCTGGAAAAGTAGGATTGGCGTAAAGTCTTGTCAATATAAGGTAGTCAGAACTTAAGAAGGTTTCACGACCGCTCAGATACGGCCACGTCGCGTGATGACGTGAGTGGCATGCTTCTGCCAGTGTAGTGGGTATACGCCAGGTTGGCAAATGGTTGGAGATGGTCTACATGTCCAATCCCCGCTCAAGTCGAGGAAATCACTCGGGCAGGTGAGCAATGAGACGCAGAGAAGGATTTGTACGATACCTACCCCACTTGCAAATTTAGTAACCATTACCTTGACCAATTCCACTATAAATAGAAGACTTTTCTCTCATTTGCGGGATTAGCTAATTTCACTTTGGAATAGCATACTCTCTCTCTCTCTCTCTCTCTCTATCTCTTGTATTCTCCAAGCTGTAACTCAGCTCGTTGAACGCGACCTGACCTTACTTTCATTAATACAATATCAGTGGACTTAGGATTCGCTTTTGAACATCTGAACCACTTTAAACATTATTTTGTACCCTTACCAAATTAAATACTTCCATAATCACGTGTGACTTCTAAGTCTCCTTAGCATTTCCCACATGCAAATAGTTGATGTCAAAATCGAGCATCAACAGCAACCAACTCAAACTGCTATTTGAAACTAAATAAAACTGAAATTGTCAAACCATGCAACGGCACTATGCTGCGGCATTAAACATTCTGGAATTTGTCACGTTGCATCTTTTTCCTTTGTGCCGCGGCATGCTGCCCTTCTACCAAAACGCGTTCATTGTTTAACAATTTCCAGCCAGCTTATACCCGGTTCCTTTTTCACGTTCCTATCTCATGGCTTTTCTCACCTTGGAAACACCTAGCCAACTCCTAGTAGAAGCATGAATGTTAGAAAGAAGCACACAAGAAGCCGAATCCGAAGGATTAAGCCTAAAAAATTCTTCAGCAATTCTTCCTGCTATGTCTACATTTTTATGAATTTTACACGAAGATAACAACGTCTTCCATATGATACCATCTGCTTTTACAGGCATTGATCTTATCAGAGCCTCTGCTTCATCTAAACAGCCAGACCGACCAAGTGCAGGGTCGGCCCAAGGGGTAGGCAGGTGAGGCACCTGCTTAGGGCTCCCAAGAAAAAAGCCCCAAAAAATGGCCCAAAATTATTTTAAAAAGATTTATAAAAATACTATTAGGCCTAAAAAAGTTCATAATTTTTTATTCAAACTGGTTCAAAAGGTCCCAAAAAAGCCAAAAAGAGTCAAATTTATTATAATTTTTTTACATAAATTTACAAGAAAACCATATTTCGTATTTTCCATTCACACCCTTAAATTAACTAAACTAGTTATTTAAATGTCTAAAATTTCAAAACACCCATTCAATCCCTAAAATGATGAAAATATTGCATCTCCATCCCTCTACATCGCCATAGTGTCACTGTCGACGTTAAAGTGATGATTCCGGTCAATTTTCTCATCAAAATCAACCGGATTCATCACTTAATCATTTCTGGTAGCCTACTGTCCACCTCTCACCCTCACAAGAAAGATCAGATAATTTGGCTATTTTATCAATTGAAAAAGATTTGATTTCTAAACTTGAATATAAAAATTTAATTAGTGACTTTGTATCTCAAAAAGTAAGAGAAATAAATTTAAAATAATTTTTAATATATGTTTATATTATTAAAAGTGACTCAAGATAACTCTTCGCTAGAGTCACAAATATTCTTGAGGCAGTACTAACCAAGTGGGTCAACCACGCATGTATAATGTTCTAGTCTAGGCTTCAAATCGAAGAATTCCAATCCTTTTTCCTACAATACACAATGAGTACAAGCATAAAGTAAGCTCAAGAAAGTAACATCATCTGCATCCCATTCTTCGTGCTCCATCTGCTCAAACAATTTGACAACTTCATCATCTCGTCCATGAAACCCATATGCAGCAATAATTGAGTTTCATCAGACGACATCTGAATCTTCACTTTCCATGAAAGCTTTGATTGAATCCTCCAAACAGCCATATCTTGAATACCTACTTATTAACGAACTAATCACTGAAACTACTGAACCAGCCCTGGCTTTCCATCAAACTAGATTGACCAAAACTCCTTCAAAATACTCATTTTGAGCTTTTCCCGCAATGAGTGTGTTCCAAGCAACCACTTTTCGCACACTACCCACAGTAAACCCATCAGGCAAAAACCCATTTTGATGCTTTTCACTTAACAATCTCAAGCCCTCCTCATTAAACTCAAACTGAATCAAACCTCCTGCCATCGCATTCCAGTCACAGTATTCCTCTCAGGCATATCTGTGAATACTTTCGAGCACTTTCCAAATCACAACTTTGCATATATGCGTTGATCAAAATGTTACAAGACATGATATCTTTCCGGGGCATAACTCCAAACAAAGCAGCAACTGTTTGTGTTTTCCCAAATTTGGAGTACATGGTGAGAAGATGGTTGCAAATGAACTTGTCTGAGGAACAACCAGATGTGACTATCAAGGAATGAAGTTGTTTTGCTAATGAAAGTGAGTTTATGAGTGTGCATGATATACAAATTTAAGCAAAAAGCTTAAAACTTGAAAGGAAAGAAACCAAATAAATGTCACGTTTCTAGGCCAGCAGTGATCCAAATCTGAGCCTTATGACCTTACCATCAATATTCAAACACTTGCTCGGAAGCTCAGCACGAACAGCAGACTTAGGCTCGGGATTAAACTCGTTATTGGTAAACCAGGAAAGCAAGTTGAACTTACCCACACCTAAATCACCGATCAAAACCAGCTTGAAAAGGTAATCATGCTCATCTTCAGGGATGCACCGAGCCATATTATACACAAGAATGGTGAAGAGAAAGGTGTTTTGATTTGTTGTTGTTGTAGTTATATAAAGAGTGTTTGAGATTATTACCTAAAGCGGTCAAAGAGATATGGCTCGAAGTTTTCACTTTTTCCAATTTTTATTTACTTGACACTATTTTGAAATTTTTCTTGTTCTTACATTCATTCAGTCAGTCGGATATAAAGATTTTTGAAATTCTTAATCATTCTATTTTACTAAAGCTCCAATTAGTACAAATGTCTTGTGCTACAAAGAAAGTAATTTATAATATATGTAACTTATATCATCTCAATTCATAAAAGTATAAGCATTGTAAATGCAGTATCTTAAGCGACTGTTTTATACGATACTTTTCCAAATGAGTTTCTTAGGGTACGAACTTCCTGTTTTCTCTTAGTTTGTGCTTCTTTCCCCAATCTATTCTTTTGAAAAATTGCAGATACTGAAAAGACATAAAGGATGATTGTGAAAGCAATTATCTTGATTCTTCTTCCCACTAAGATTTAAGCAGACACAAATGAAATAAGAACCATAACAGGCTTTTTAATTATACCAATACGTTCAACTAGGTACTTAAATATAACTGAAAATCATCTAGGATTAGAAAGAATAGATTCTACAGGTGGAGCAGAAACTTGGTGATTTACCAAAGAAGCACAAGGCATTGCATGAGCGAACTTATAGTTGATGTTTTCATCTACGTCCATCACTCCCTCTAAAACCTTCACCACAGTTGACATGGATGGCCTGTGTATAGGATCATCTTGTAAACACCAGGCGCCAATTTTTATCATTCTTACCATTTCTTCTCTATGATTTTGCATATCTTCATCTGAATTTTCCATAATGTCAAGCACTTGCCCTTCCTCTGCCTTATCCTGTAGCAATTTGAGAAGATGAAAGCTAGATTCTGACCGCGAACTATCCAAATTTCTCCTTCCACAAACCACTTCAAAAAGAACAATCCCAAAGCTATATATGTCAACTTTTACAGTGATTTTTTATTTTCGCCATTCTGGAGCAATGTATCCTGGAGTTCCTCTCATAGTGGCTTGCACTTGGCTCTCTTCTCTGTCAATTAGCTGAGATAATCCAAAATCTGAGACTTTGGCATTGAAATTTTCATCCAAGAGAATGTTTTGTGGCTTTATATCTAAATGCATTATTCTTTTCAGGCAATCTTCATGAAGATAACCCAATCCTTTGGCTATATCAAGTATAATATTCTTCCTTGTTTGCCAATCGAGATAAGGTCTTTCGTCTCTCAAGAAAATCCATTTATCCAGTGAACCATTACTCATATATTCATACACAAGAAGCCTGCACCTTTTCTCTACACAAAAACCAATCAATCTCACAATATTAAAATGATGCAGGCTACCAATGGTCTCAACTTCTGCTGAGAATTCCCTCATTCCTTGCCCCATTCTATCCAATCTCTTCACTGCAATTTTGTTTCCGTCTCGTAGATCCCCTTTGAACACAGAACCAAATCCTCCCCCACCAAGTCTCTGCCTGAAATCCTCCGTTGCAACTCGTCAATCTTCATATGAAAACCTTACAGGCATTCCAGGAACTTTGTTGGTATTTGGCCGGAGAACTCTAAGAAAGAAAAGGAGAAAAAATGCAGAAAGTGAACTGCTATATTTCATTACACTGTAACTTGCAATATATACACAACAAAGCTTACTGTTTTACCAACTGCAACAACCATTCAGACTTTAAATTTCAAAAACAAAGTTGGTAACTTAATGCACACTTATCTTACACTGATTACACCTAAACATGACACAAAATTAACAACTCCAGAACAACTCCAGCAGCTTCAGTTTCAGCAGGAAACAAGGGAA